GGGGCGGGGCGCACACATTGAGGTTCACTTCGGTCAGTCAGTGGGTCAGGCGGGCTGCCAGCCGGTCAGCGCGCGGTGGCAGCAGCAGCGGCCTGGCCCGCGCCGCGCGAGGCCACAAGACGGCCCTCCTTCCTCCTCCTCCTCCGCAAGTACGTCATCGCATTCCGCTTTCGAATCTCTCTGCAAATAACGCCCGGGACGGGCACGCCGCGGGCCGCAGGGCCGCGCGCCATTTCCACGATCCAGTAATCGTCATTTGGCGTAATGACGCCCCGGTGCAGCCGCCCGCGCCGAGCGCAGCGCACGTCCAGCACGTCCACGACGACGGCCGCGGGCGGGTCTCGGGTAGCGCTGAGCGGTGCTGAGCATCATGCTGAGCGGTGCTGAGCGGTGCTGAGCATTGCTGAACGGCCCAGGGCAGCGCTGAGCTGTGATGAGCATGGTGCAGAGCATGGTGCAGAGCATGGTGCTGAGCATGGTGCTGAGCATGGTGCTGAGCATGGTGCTGAGCATGGTGCTGAGCATGGTGCTGAGCATGGTGCTGAGCATGGTGCTGAGCAGTGCTGAGCTGCACTAAGCGTAGCTGAGCTGTGCTGAGTGGTGCTGATCTGATCTGAGCGGTGCTGAGCGGTGCTGAGCGGTGCTGAGCGCGTCCAGCCACCAGCCCGTGGCGGGCCGGCGTGGGAGGCTCGGGGCTCGGCACTGACGGTGCGTTTAGCCTGTCGTCAACGCCTCGCCATCTTTGGCTCTCGTTTGGAACCCGTTAGTTAGTGCCGGGCCCGTTGTCTCTCGACCGCAACGGCCAGCTCCTCGACGACGGCCACGTCCTATGGCGAGGGGCCGAGAGGCCGCACTCTGGCCCGGGCCAGCACCGAGCCGGAGGCGGGCAGCCGGGTCTCGACCGCCGCGAAGAGCCTTTGGCGACCCTTTGGGGCCGCAGAATAAAGTGCCCATATATACTCGACAAGAGCCCTTTCCCTCTGGTTTACCTTATTCCACGGCCCTTGCGCTAGCTATTGTACCGGGGAAAGAAACTTTGCGCTGAGCAGGCAATGAGTCGGTGGGGTGTAGAAAGGAAAAG